AGGATGATAATCCTAGCTAGCCCCTAAATTTCTGTGATGCAAGGAACTGGGGTAGTAGCTAGCAGGTAACATGCTAGCTAAGATGATACATTTCTTCATAGCTAGCGGAACGTTCCCTACATCCCGTACAGTACTTGCAGAGACACCGAATACTCAGTGAATGTCCACACTGACAATTCACTACAGCAGTTTGAGATAACACAGACCAAACTCTGTGGCTTTCATTTGACATATTCTGTTAGGATTAACAGATTCCTATTTGCCAGAGGATGAGTCTATGCTTGTGTCAGATGTTTACAATTGTTAGACTGAGTAGACTCCGCTGAAGGAGACTTGAGACTCATGTGAATTCAGGAAGGCAATGAAGGGAGAGTGTGAAGATGAGGTGGACTCTCAGAGACTCACATACACAGAGTCCATTTTGACTGATCTGAACAAGCCTCCGCATGTCTTTGTGGAAACAAGACCCAAGTGGAATGGAGAAGAATGACTTTTCCTGTTGTATTTGCCTCATGACTCTGCAGGACCGAAATCAGATTCTATTCTTTGAAATAACAGTAACAGAGCTTCTCAACCAAAGCCAGGAGCTGTCTAATGACATCTTCATTTGGGGATAGATTTGGATGAGGACGCTTGGCCTCTCAGAGTTTCCCCTTCTCAGGAGGGCTATTGAAGACCAAAATGAGATGACCTACCAGAATTGGGAAGGAGAAGTTGTCTTTATCACACACATCCATGAGGGGAACTCCAAAGAGCTGTCCTGGCTTTGCGGAAGATGGGGCTGTGCACTGGTTGTGCTGGGAAGTGCTGGAACCCCGACAAAACGCCCTATCTCTGAAAGAACGGGTTTTCACAGTCTTCAGGCTGGAGTCTAAGGAAGAAGTGAGAGTACTCGTAGTAGTAGTTGTTGTTTAATATGTTGAACCTTCTTTTTCCTTTTTTTTTTTTTTTTTACAGATTTTATTTATTTTTTGACAGAGAGAGAGAGACAGCAAGAGAGGGAACACAAGTAGGGGGCGGGGGAGAGGGAGAAGCAGGCTTCCCTTGGAGCAGGGAGCCCGACTCGGGGCTCGGTACCAGGACCCCAGTATCATGACCTGAGCTGAAGGCAGATGTTTAACGACTGAGCCACCCAGGTGCCTCAGACTCATCTTAATTCCTGATGACTTGTATTTTCCTAAAACTTTCCTCAAAGTATGTGGTACGTGTCATGAAAACAAGAAATGTCAAAAATATGGAGGGATTGATGATACGTGTCTCCAGGTTCTGAATCGAAAGTCTACCTTCTAAGGTGGACTGCTGCCAGTTAGGTCTGATTAGCTAGGCTCAAATCATACTACCTCTAGTGTCAGGGGCACTTCTCCTAGTGCTATTAATGGCTTTTTTTGAATTACATCCATCATCTTATTTATTCTACACCACAATTCTAAGATTTAGACATTATTTTTATCCACATTTTAGAGATGAATAAACTGATGCTTAGCTGCTATAACGGGCCAAAGATAATATAGCTGGTAAATGGGGGTACAGGAATTTACACTCTGGAGAGGTTGTTTGACATCAAGTCAAGTTCTTTTTTCTCAAAGATGCCAATTCTTTTCAACCCATTTCAAAGGGCACTGGAATCCTGTGGTGCCTCAAGAGCCCCTGAGCCAAAAGAGGAGGGAGGGGAAGAAAGGCCCCTTTCTCTGGCTTCAACCAGCGCACATGTAATATACATAAATATATACATTATGTTTATATATTTATATAGTATCAGTATATAATTATGTAATATATATAACTACATAGATATATATATAGCACCCATTTAAATTTTGTGAGAAAAAGTTCCCAAACACTGTGGCATACCATGATGAGTCCTAATTCTGTTATGATCTACACTAGAAACTTCTTGAAGTCAGAGACCTCATCTTATCCTTTCTTTGGTCTCACAACAGTGTGGAACCTCCCTTGACCTGTGAGCCAGCCTTCGGACGAAGGAGCCCATGGAAATCCTTGCCCTGGCGATGCTCTGGGCTCCAGAACAGCTCTGTCTAAGCATCTCCCATGACCCCTGGCAGCCTTGCTGTCTGCTTCTCACTAAAGCCAATAAAATTATTCCTGGTACCTGCAGCCTGCTCGCTGTTATCACGACTCATTGAGTTCTCTCCCAAGAGGGAAGTGATGTCTTCTCCAAATATTTTAAGGCAATTTTCAATGAGAAATTGTACAAGAGAAATCTGTAACACAAAAAGACAAGAATGGGGTGCTCTTTTCCATAGGGCATAGTTATAAATCACATTATGTATATAGACCTTGGATCTAAGAAAGAATGTGAAAGATTTCCCAGAAAAATTCAGAACTGATAAAAATACATAGAGACCAGGAGCGCCTGGGTGGCTCAATCGGTCAAGCGTCTGCCTTCAGCTCAGCTCATGATCCCAGGGTGATGCGATCAGCCCTACATTGGGCTCCCTGCTCAGCGGGAAGCCTGATTCTCCCTCTCCCACTCCCCCTGCTTGTGTTCCCTCTCTCGCTGTGTCTGCCTCTGTCAAGAAAATAAATATAATCTTAAAAAAAATAATAAAATAAAAAACAGAGACCAGAATTCTCTAAGAAATAACTTAGGAAGAGTGATACTTTTCCGGGTACTTTGGGTACACATTTTAAAATACTGCTAATCAGTAGGCTAAAGTTTTAATATGTGGCCTAGTTTAATAGCCAACATTTTGGTATCAGTGGTTACATCATTAAGCCTAGGATAATTTTTGGGGCCCCTCAGTTGAGAATCTGACTCTTGATTCTGGCTCAGATCACTATCTCATGATGGTGAGATCCTGCCCAACATGGAGCCAACTTTGGGCTCCGTGCTCAGCGGGGAATGGGCTTGGGCTTCTCCCTCTCCCTCTCCCTCTTCTTCTTCCCCTGACCCGCTCACGCTCTCTCTTTCCCTCTCTCAAATAAATACATATCAAAATATAAATAAAACAAGGATAATTTTCAAAGTAGCCTACCTTATTAAAGTTTACTTATTTTATGTTTTTAAATTTTGTTTCCAGTTTTACTGAGCTGTAACTGATGTATAACATCTTATGAAACTTTATATAAAGTATGAACAAAAACTTAAGAAAACCATTTCTTAAATGAAGAAGTATCTTAAAGTTGGGAAGCAGAGATTTTGGTGGGGTTGTGAGGGAAAACCCACACAGCTGGAGAGAAAACGTATCTGTCTGTCTAACTTCAGTCCCTTCTCACGCATTGCTTTGCCTCATGCTGGCTCTCTCTGTGTGAGCTTGGGGAAGACCTGTCATCTTATTAGGATATTCTGGAATCTCTTGCTAGTTTCCATATGACGTAGCAGAGGTGAAATAGTAGCTGAGTACTTTTCTAGATGAGCCACAATTGGCAGAGGAAGGCCAATGTGTTTGGAGCCATGGGGGCTCATATTGCCCAAGCCACCCAGGATGTGCCAGTGATGACCGGAGGAGCTGGCTGTTGTCGCCATTGTGTAGTGAGGAAACCATGGCTTTGCCCAAGGTTACGAGTCCCTCAGGGATTAGGCTGAGAGTTGAACCTTGACTGGTGAAGCTCCAAAGCCCAGGTTCTTTCCTATCGTATCACACGACTCTTCTCTCTCTCGTTTAGTCAGTCTAGTGTTTAGTCTCCTGGAGGGTGAAGAAGTGACTCGACTGCTCCGAGTTTCCCGTTTAACGACACCCCTTCCCAGACCCCGCCAGAGTAGCCTAAAGAACTCTGCCACTCCACAGGGGCCTAACGAAAATGTGCACTTCACAAGGTTCCATCCGTCAGAGTTACTACTGCACATGTCCGGTTCAAAGTAGGGTTTCTACCCCTTGGGGGACAAAAATGAGAGCTCTCATTACCTTTTTTATCAAGTTGTCTTCCAATTCCAAGGTGCCGGAATCAGGTGGGTAAAGAACGCTTGGGGCTATACAAACGGATAAATTATAAGCTGTCATCTGATTGGATGAGGAATGTTGCTCAATGTTGTATAGCACTCCAAAAAGGTATCGCAAGAGAACAATATTTGCTCTTGGCAGCTGGGCTAAAAGCCTAAGGTCAGAAAAACACACTTTAAATTAGGTAAATGATTCCACTTAAGAGGTTGGAAAAACAGAGACAGGGAAAAGGATACATCCTTGTATATCTAGCACACAACCCCTCTCTAGCAGAGTTCCAGGCATGAATGTAGACAAAATTGTTGCACTGAATTTAGTTCCTGAGCCAGATAAACACTTCTCTGGTTAGTTAAATGTTTGACAGACTTTTAAGGTCATAGCCCTGGCAGTTGATGCTCTTGCATGTGTCTTGAACCAGGGAATTTCGTCTACAAGGTTCATGGATCCAGAAGGTGTCAAACGGCCAAGGAGTCCACATTAATAAGATCAGGAGAAGAACAATAATAGCCCTAAAGCGTGCCTCTATTCTGAAGCTGACCCCCATGGCTTTGAAGAATTGAAACTCTTTGACATTCGTCATGATTATAGTGGGCAAAGCTGCAAAACGTAAGCCAATGTTTTCCTAATAGTATGTTGGGTGTATTTTGGAGATGTGACCAGAGTAGAGTAATTATTGCATCGTTACCTCCGCGCTGCAGTCATCTTCTCCTCTTCGTTCCCTTGATCAATAACACCGAGCCATTTGTCATAGAGATCAGACAAAAATATACATCCTGGGATATTTCTTAGGAAATACTTGTGGAGATAAAAATAAATATGTATATATATTACAGAAAATATGTATTGGAAATATTACAGAGAAAATATGTAGTTAAAAAATTCAGTTCAGCCCCCACTTCCTTCACAGATACCCAAACTGGGACCCACACGGAGCTTGGCTCTGACTCTCCATTGACTTGCACACGCAGCATCAAGTGCTTGGATATTCTCCCCCTAAATCTTAGAGGCATTAAAGCAGAGCTTAGGCTGTGGTAGAAATGAAGATAAAGCTCCCTTCTATCATCTAGAACTTATTTTCTTTGTGTGCTTTTTTTGCAAAGTACCACAAACTGACAGGGTCTGGCTATAGACCATCCTAAATCCTATTAGCTTCTTGGACAGAAATACGCTTACCCATGTTGCTTGTTTTAGACACAGTGCTAGCTCTTAACTCTAGCAAGAAAAGGCCTGAAACAATCGAAACAGAAACAGGTGGGCTCTTGCACACATATTAGGAAAGAACTAGGTCTTCTCACTCGGGGTATGTGTGCTCCCTGGAAGAAAGCTACTCGCACAATTGCTTCATTCTTCCTTTTCTTAACTGTCTAAAAGTCGAGAGTCTAATAGTAGACTCACTGAGGTCCTGAGGATAGATTCATTTCTAGATTAGGTCCATTCCCAGTTTTTTGACATGATATTATCAAGGCCAAAGTTGCAGAGTCTGTTTCTCCACCAAGATCCATCAACTTCAGGAAGAGAAAACTTTAGAAATGTCTAAGCACTATGCCCACATGTGCATACCCTCTTCCTAGTCGGTGCTTATAACACCGAATCAGGAAGGAACCTCCTAACTCTTTTTTTTTTTAATGATTTTTTTTTTAAAGATTTTATTTATTTATTTATTTAAAAGAGAGAGAGAGAGAAACAGCATGAGAGGGGATAGGGTCAGAGGGAGAATCAGGCTCCCTGCTGAGCCGGGAGCCCGATGTGGGACTCGATCCCAGGACTCCGGGATCATGACCTGAGCCGAAGGCAGTCGCTTAACCAACTGAGCCACCCAGGCACCCGGAACCTCCTAACTCTTGCTAGAAAATCGATTCCATGTGCTCACCTTACAGAGGGCAACACTCATCTTGCTACGTAATGTATCAGCATTCTTCTCCTGTCTCCTGATGCCTATATGTATATTACTACTGGATATCACTATGACCGCAGTGTAGGAGTGGTTACCTAAGTCATTTCTGGACTTTGCTATTGATCACATCTTCGAACATTAACGGGGGACAAGGGAAGACCAAATGTGACTGAGATTCTAAGACTGTAGTCATTACTACGTTAACATAGGGTTGTTCAGAGCTGTTCATAAGTGCCAAGGTGGATGGATTAAATTCTTTCCCTGTTCTATTTCTTTTGGAAACTTTGCCTTCACTAGGAGGGTGGTGAGAATGTTTGCATGGGTAAACAGTGTGTATGTGTCAGTGCGTATTTTGAAATTTATTATCATGACTAGTAGTCATTTCAGTATTAGTATTTTGCATGGCGACTTCAGGAGTGAAGGCAGGGTAGGCGGTGTGTGGTGAAAACAGAAAGAATTTCTAACATATGGGGCTTTTAACTCCTAAAGTAGCTTCCTTAAATTTTGATTTTGTCAAGCGTTTTTCAGCTTGTCAGGTTCTTAATCTATTATGCCCATTATGGTTCTTGAGCAGTCATGATGAAAGACACCAATCATAGCTTCAGTTACTCGTGTGTGGATAATGCTAGAACCTTCCCTACCTTTAAGACGGATGCGACCACATGAACAGATTCGCTGTACAGGTCCACTTTGACCCCAGAATTTAGTTTCTCCTTTAGGACCCTGGTTGATTTTATATTGGGTGATTTGCTGAAGATGCATTCTGTGAGGGACCCTTTTTGATTAATAAGGGAAAGCATATCCTGTAGGAAGAAAAGAAAATTATATCGCATCTCATACCCCAAACGCAGAGCTCAAGCTTGCCTCCGTTTTGAAAGAGGAGGGGAATGCAATGGTACACTGTTTTTGAGCTGAAAGGACTAAAGTCAATTTAGATTGTTTTTTTTTTCAGTGTCTCTCTATATACTTTCTACCCATATATCCATTTTACAGTCATACACTGAAACATTTTAAACACTTCTTTTAAGCAGATTTTCCTTTCCATTGAGTTTCCACTCTTAAATCAAAATTCTCTGCTTCAAGGCCTTTGCACAATCACCGTCCGTTTCCTACTTTACCATTCTTTTCTCATTATTGCCTTACATAGATGCTCTCCGCCAAGTATGGAAGTCTATTTAGGAAATACACATTTCCCATTTGTTTATTTCTCTTTAAGTGAGTGTATACTCCATTCCTACTTGTTCTATTTCTTTCCCTCTTTTAAAGTCAGGCTCAGAAACTCTCTTCCCCTTCTCTGATTACCCTCCCTTCTCATGAGTCTTTCATTGTCTTTTGCTGTATCTTCATGTCCTCTCCCTGCTGTGTAGAATCTTAATAAGGGCTGGACTCAGGGAATAAAATGGATCTGAAGTCTATTATGCTACTTATCTATTGTGTGAGCTGGGGCACATACATCCTGTACTGAGGCTTTTCCGATTCGTTTAAGAAGTGTGGAGGATGATAATCCTAGCTACCCTCTAAATTTGCTGTGATGCAAGGACCTGGGGTAGTAGCTAGCAGGTAACATGCTAGCTAAGATGATACATTTCTTCATAGCTAGCAGAACGTTCCCTACATCCCGTACAGTGCTTGCAGAGACACCGAATACTCAGTCAATGTCCACACTGACAATTCACTACAGCAGTTTGAGATAACACAGGCCAAACTCTGTGGCTTTCATTTGACATATTCTGTTAGGATTAACAGATTCCTATTTGCCAGAGGATGAGTCTATGCTCGTGTCAGATGTTTACAGTTGTTAGACTGAGTAGACTCTGCTGAAGGAGACTTGAGACTCATGTGAGTTCAGGAAGGCAATGAGGGGAGAGTGTGAAGATGAGGTGGACTCTCAGAGACTCACATACACAGAGTCCATTTTGACTGATCTGAACAAGCCTCCGCATGTCTTTGTGGAAACAAGACCCAAGTGGAATGGAGAATGTCTTTTCCTGTTGTATTTGCCTCATGACTCTGCAGGACCGAAATCAGATTCTATTCTTTGAAATAACAGTAACAGAGCTTCTCAGCCAAAGCCAGGGGCTGTCTAATGACTTCTCCATTTGGGAATAGATTTGGATGAGGACACGTGGCCTCTCAGAGTGTCCCCTCCTCAGAAGGGCTATAGAAGACCAAAAGGAGATGACCTACCAGGATTGGGAAGGGCAAGTTGTCTTTATTACACACATCCATGAGGGAAACTCCAAAGAGCTGTCCTGGCTTTGAAGAAGGTGGGGTTGTGCACTGGCTGTCCTGGCTAGTGCTGGAGCCCAGACAACAGGCCCAGTCTCTGAAAAAACCGCTTTTAACTGTCTTCTGCCTGTAATCTAAGGAAGAAGTGAGATTAGTAGTAGTAGTTGTTGTTTTATTCGCTTAACCTTCTTTTCTTTTTTTTTCTAAAGATTTTATTTATTTTTTGATAGAGAGCCAGTGAGAGATGGAACACAAGCAGGGGGAGCGGGAGAGGGAAAAGTAGGCTTCCCACCCAGCATGGAGCCTAATGCAGGGCTCAATCCCAGGACACGGGGATCATGACCTGAGCCCAAGGGAGACGCTTAACAACTGAGCCACCCAGCCATCCCGCTTAACCTTATTTTCACCATTCCCATTCTACGGTACATTCACTGCAATGGCTAGAAGAGGGAAACTGAGGCATTTTTTGTGTAGAATTTTCCATGTTTTGAAATTGGCCAATAGCATTCTTATGGTGTTAACAGTTGTTCCCCAGATCCTGCAAACTGATGGTTAAACCTAGAGACTTGATCAGACTTAGTGTCAATGCTTTCAATCCCATCTACTGCCCGTTGTGCTTTATCACGAGGCACTTCACTTGTTGTTTGTTTCCTATTGGTAAGTATGATTAGTGGATTCATCCAGTGTCAGATCTGATTTTAAAAGCTCAAAAGATCTGGTATTCAAATCAAGCTGAGTTTGTTAATCATCTGCTTTCACAGTGAGTCTCCTTCCAGTCTTAAGTTTCCTCTTTGGCTTTCTGAGTGCTCAACTTTTTTTTTTTTTTTTTAATTTTATTTATTTATTTGGCAGAGAGAGACAACGAGAGAGGGAACACAAGCAGGGGGGGATTGGGAGAGGGAGAAGCAGACTCCCACTGAGCAGGGAGCCTGATGCAGGGCTAGATCCCAGGACCCTGGGATCATGACCTGAGCTGAAGGCAGACGCTTAACGACTGAGCCACCCAGGTGCCCCTGAGTGCTCATCTTTCTATGATCAAAAGGATCTGCCTCTCATGACATGATCCGCCTGACCCCACTTCTCAGGTGGCCTCTGGTGTCTCTGCTCTGGGCCATCCCCAAGGATGACTCCCTGCATTCAGGGTTCTTGGGAAATAGTCATTACATGCTGGCTATGTGGTAAGATTCCAGGTGACTGTGTTTTCTTGTGATACCCCACCAAGCTACCCAGAGATGACTTTTTTTTTTGTAAATTATGTTTGATATTTACGGAAAAGAGTCTAATCCACAATGAATTGCACCCAATTCCTCACACATACTCAAACATACATGTATATACACCATACCAGTACAAGGCTTGAAAGAAAACATACAAAAAGAAAAACAATGAGAGATTATGAATGCCTGATTTATCCCCAATTTCCAGAGATGATTTTGAATTACCCAACATTCCCTATCAAAGGAATGCAGAAGAAGAGCTTTACAAAGAAAAGGTGATCTGCAGTGAAAAGCTGAGTTGAAAGTTTCTACTGCTCAGCTATGAATGTTTTCCTTATAAGATACCTTAACATTTGCTTATAAAATCTGCTTAAATAACTGAATTCTTTAAAAGTCCACAGAGGAGCCAAGCTGTAGAAGGATAAACAAATGAGCAACATTTCACCAAACACCCATAAACACCTGTCCACTGGGCTTTTCTGGGATGTAGTGAGTGCATCACCGTATCCACTCACGTGGGTGGCAACACTCATGGCACTTGACCAGAGAGACCAGGATCTAAGAACCAGAAGCATCCTGGTTCTGCCACCTAGTTAGATTACTCAAAAATTCTTAAGCTTTGGTTTGCTTAACTTTAACATAAATGCTGCTGCCTACAACTCGTTGAACTAAATGTAATGTACTACTCAGCACAAGGCATGGCTCGTGGCAGCCTTGATAAAAGTAATTTCCTTGCTCAGAAGGCCTCAGGCAGTCTAGACGTCAGTCTCTTCCCCCTCCAAAGCAGACATCACTCCCATTCTCTATTTGATTTTGCAACCTCTAGAAGGTAGGCAATCATGAAGGATGGCTACCACTTTACTTAACTAAGGCTCTTTCTTCCTGCTCTGAAATTGATACCGCTACCATTTTAAAAGGAGAGAAGAAAGAAAGCAAACACATTCTTAAATCCAGGAGGAGATTCCTGTACATCAAAATGTATGCATTTGCTGAAGATACGTGTTAATATGTAAGTTGAGTTGTTGTATGCAACCTGGGTTCCCTACTCTTCCCCTAGTTTTATTATTTCTAAAACTACCCAAATATATTCCATTCTTCAGCTTTAATAAGAAGAATGCTCTTAAGAAGAATGTTGTATCCCTTGGTACAAAGCTATATATCTAGCTACTCTATGAGTATACAGAAAATAAGTACACATTGAGTCCTATACTTTCTCCAAGGTATTTTCAGGCTTAGCTGGATGTTTCATAATGTACATTATTTGCTGTTAGAGGTCATGTTGCCTCTATTACTAATAAAAATATATGCTATAGCCATGAAAAATATAGGAATGATTAAACAAGCTAACTTTATGGAAACCTATTCTTTCTTAAACAGTCCTGGCAAGATTTGGGTTAATGTTTCCTAATGCTTGAATTAGGGTATGAATATTAAAAAATAAAATTTTTGAAACTTTGTGCTTATAGAATCACAATCATAACAATAAAATACTTTCTATTTTGGCCCAATACTTCTCAGATGAATAACACATTTTCATCAGAGAAAAAAATATCAATGGGAGAATACTGGAATGGTAGGGAAAAAAATAGCAAGAAGGAAGATGAAAAAGCCCTGACCATAAACATTCAGTCTAGCTCCAGCCTTGACCTGTGTCTGAAGCAGACATGGAAAGTGGGGGCAGAATTGAGACTTGAATTCTAACTGTAAGCCCAAGGCCACTTCAGCCTAAGCCCAGAATAAATCCAATTCAGTTCCATAACTCTTTACTCCACTGGAGTTCTTCCATTCCAGGTGCGTCTAAGCCATGCAGTCATTTGATTCCATCCTGTGATGGCCTGAGATACTAGATAAAACCCTGGAATAGGGAAGACCTGTTTCCAGGCCACAAACAGCTTGTGCTCTAAGAAGACACACAGATGTGTACTCACATAATTATATGTAGAAAGTGTTCTGGGGATACAGAGAAAGGAGCTAACAGTCTACCTAGGAGAATTAAAACAAGCACACAACCTTCCTCGAAGTGAGTTGGGTCCTAAGACCTTTGGGTTTCTCTAAGCTCGATTCTGTGCAGTTTTGGGGTTCTTGCCTCTACTGTTCCTCCCCACCCCCCACAGAGAGAGTGAGCTCTGTGTCCTCAATTTGTGGGCAAGAGTGGAGACATGAGCCAAGAGGAGACACCTGAAGAAAGGGAAGGGGCTCACCTCTCCCTTGCTCATTCTGCGCCGGGTGCCTGGGCTTCAGGATGAACCGGCCTTGCATCTCTGCGAACCCCTGCTCCAGAAGGAGGGACTCCTGGAGGGTGGAAGGAGAGATGGAGTCCTCTGGTGTCTGCGGCAGCAGTGTGGTAGATGGAAGATGGCTCATTTTAATTCCATAGGGATGTTTATGTCCTATATGGAAAAAATATAGATTCAGGCTGATGGTGATGGCTCTGATCAAATCCCCCTTCCCATGAGTGTATGCATCACACTGGTATATGCTGCTATTCTCCTGGGGCTTCTGGCACTCACTCTGTGCCTCCTGAGTGAGCATCATATTCGCTCTTGTTGGAGACACCCTGCAGAAAGCAGGTGCCCAAGGAAAAGATTTTAAAAAGAGAAAAAAAATGTAAAGCATGTTACTTTACTTGGAATACAAAGATTCATCAGTGCATTGCACAATGCTGACTTTCGCTGTGTTTCCATCTGAGAATATTTAAGGCCTTCTAGTTTCTGCCTTGACACTAACGAGATCTGCACATCTTAGGCAAATTACTTGACCCCTCTGAGCCTTACATTCATCCTTTGAAATGCTTGCCCTCACACAAACTTATAAGGATCAGAGTAAATATATTAATATGCATTGGTGGGTAATATTTTTTAAATAATTGAACATATATATTAAGAATTGCTATTCTCTCTCACATAATGTCAGTTGAGCAGATTTTTTTTTCATTTCCTTTTGTCAATTTCTAGAGGCAGAGCTACTCAAGGGCAGTGGGATGGGTTGCCTTTATGCTTTATACTTCCCTCCCACTGCTGCCCTTCCTCCAAGGGGAGTCCTGCCAGGTGATGATCAGAGGGAAGGCTGAACAGTGTTGGGAACCCAGAAGCAAAGTGCAAAACGATGTTTACAGAGTGGAAAACTGCACCCAGAGTCAGTGAGAGTTGCCTGCCAAGTGATTTGTTTTGTTCTTGTATGCTTTAAATTGTTTCCTCTCTATAGAATTCTCAAAGACCCTGTGCTATAGGATATGGATCTCATTTTTTAAGAACAGAATGGAAGTTCTCTTTCTGTCATTTCTGATTTATTATTGAATGTAACTTGGGGAGCTTTTGCTGTTCCTTCTCATCTGTCATAGATGCAGTGTCATTGATGTGTTCACAAGAATCACAGTGACTTCCCTCTTTTAAGGAAAAAGAAGCTTCTACGACAGCAATACAACCAAATCACAAAGATAACCAGGAGATAATCCGCAATTGAGAATTGAGAGCATTGGTAAAAAATGCATTTTGAATGCTGCCAATGGATCATCATGAATGACAGGCTCTCCGGATTCCTTAGAGCTGCCTTGGTGTGTGAAGCTGCTCAAAGTCTAAAAAGTTATCATCTATATTGTTTTACCTAAATTAATGCACTTTATTAAAATAAATATATTTAAGTATTTGACTTTTTTCCTTTTTGTGGTTGGCCGACTTTTACAGAGATGTCAATATTAATATGAAACATGAAATGGTGGGGGGGATTTTTTTCCTCAGCTATGCCCTTGGTGACTCTCTGTATTCTAAGACTGGGAATATACATTTCGTAGAAAGAAATTGGTTATTTAGATTTCTAGATCACTTGAAAATATTCTTTAGATAACTTGAAAAAGAGTAATAGCCTCACGGGATTATTTTCTTTTTAAGATTTTATTTATTTATTTGTCAGAGAGAGAGAGAGAGCACAAGCAGGGGGAGCGGCAGGCCAAGGGAGAAGCAGCTCCCCACTGAGCAAGGAGCCCAGGACCCTGGGATCATGACCTGAGCCAAAGGCAGACACTTAACTGAGCCACCCAGGCATCCCGCCTCACAGGATTATTAAAAAGATTTTGAAAAACGCATGTAAGAAGGAATGCTCTAAGATTTCTAGCAGAAATCATTGTCACCATTACCATACATTACTATACTTCAAGGTCTGCTACAGATCCTCTCTTTTTTCTCTTGTTTTTTAATCCTTCTATTTTTGGTAAGCACTGAACAATTTTGCTAATCCAAAGATTTTTTTTTAGAGGACTTGTGCTAATAACTATTTTAGGAGAGGTGTAATCTGTTTATCAATAACCTTAAGAACAGTGATGGAAAAAGCCTGAGAAACAACAAAGTGCAGGTAGTTTAGTCAGTGAAGACTTGAGGAGTTTAAATGTGATTATCTCATTCTCTTTATGATGCTGAGAAAACTTCTGGGCACAGAGCAGGTGTTAAATACATACCTATACCTGGATTCAGAGACATGATTGGATTTTAGCGGATTCTCACAAAATAGAGGCTATTTAGTTGTTAGGAACTGGAATTCAAGACTGGAATATGAAAAATAAATGTATGGGGAAAAAAAATTCCAATTCTATGCTTTCATACCTAAGTGAGTAAATAAGTAAGTAAACAATAAACAAAAAAATTTTTAAGACAGCTCCGTTTGTCAGGTAAAATGAAGTAGAAACGAAAAATTTACATTTCTCTCCCTAACTAGACCTTAAGCTGATGAATGAAGAGATGTCCTCAGTGCCTGGGAACAAGTAAGCACCTGGTAATTCTTTAATAAACGTGAGAGTGAATATTGCATGTGATTTTCACTTTTAAGGGTATTTAAGCTGAAGACAGAACAACCATTACTTTGAGATGTAGAGTTACAATTTTGAACCTAATCAATCCCATCTTAGATTTTCCCTGACACTTACCAGTGAGTGGGTGTGGGGACGCTTCCTTGCCAGCACTCACCCACAGCTGGTAGTCTTTCTCAGAGCCCTTGGAAACAAAAAGAACTATGCATCATAACAAATCTTTCACAGTACTTGAAGAACACATTTCCTTTGCATTTCTCTGTTTCCAGAAAGAAAGAATTGGGGCCAGTATAAATGCCATTTGGTCCATGGAGGTAGCTACAGTACTTGTTAACTTGTTCCCTCATAGCCTCCAGTGGACCGTCCCAGGTTCTTGTCATTTTTGATAAAGGCCAGGAAACCACAGTACAATCAGCCCCTCACGGTGTGGGTGGCCCATGGCCTAAGAAATCACAGTTGTGCCCCTTCGCTAAGGAGGAAACTTCTAATCTCAGAGTCCTGCCTTCCGCTGTCTCTAGATTCCTTGGATAATGCTGGCTTTTGCCGCCAAATGTCCCTGCCCTGACATGCATATTGTCCAGAGAGCCATATACCCTGCTATGACTATTCCTGAGCAAAGTAACTTGAAAGGCATCAATAGTTCCGCAGCCCTGGGCAAAAGGAGACAAACGCCCAAGAGGCCTTGAGGAGTTAGTGGACTGAAGTCAGCCACTGGCTTTGGTGCAGGCAAGCCCCACTTCAGGGAGAGAAAGAACAAGGACTCTAACCTAGACAACATATCAGATGCAGAAAACAATTACTCCCAGCAGAATTACCGCCCAGTAAACCTGGAAGTCCTACTTGAAACAAACACATCTAAATTATAAAGATCGCTGAACTATTTTAGAGAGTCTTCCAGGAGACTAAAGCAAAAAATGTTTGACATGGAGTTGTTGGTGATAGGTACTATGCTTGACCTGGACTCCTGATTAAAAATCATGGTCTTGCCCTTATGAAGAAAGGTCATAGGTATGGACACAGACACACACACAGACACACGCAGACACACAGACACACACACATAGCTAAATCTGCTCAAAATTGTATTGCAAATAACTCGTGAGAGCTAGTAAGGTAGGGTAGGGTTTGGAAATGCTATGCTGGAATCCCTTAAATCAGGCATACATAAAGCCAAATAACCCCAATTCTTCATTAAAACAGAAATTCTTTGTGTGGTGAGATTGATCACTTTATGCAAAGGAAAATCACAAACATGAAATAAAATGAGCTTCATCATTAATCAATCTCCTCAACTTCATCCCTAAAACCACTCACTCTCTGTCTAAGACTTAATTCCTATTTAGGGTATATATATCATACAGGTTAGAAATCAATGTAGATATGTGCTTTACTCAGTACATATAAATTCAATTTTATTTCAGATATATTATTAAATTTTGTTTGTACAGAAATCATTGATTTCTTATGCTAAATTCCAGTTGCCCTGAATTTTTAAGGGGCTTTATTATACCATTGGGTCAGACAGAATTTAAGTAAGAATCTTGTAATTATGTCATGTCATAATAGCAAGACATTTTTGCATTTATAGAGGATTTTATATAAGAAGCTGTGCTTTACAAGTGCTCCCTTCAGTTCTGTCCATCTGACTATCACTCTCCCTCTCTTTTCCCTTAGAAAACCTCATCCTCAAATATGTCCATGTCTTTCATCAAAAAAAAAAAAAAAATCCAGCAACTCACACCAGCGCCATCAAAACATAAAGGAACAGGCCGTTAAAACCAAAACAAGATGAAAGTGATATGTACGCAACTGCCCCCAGATCATGGTCTTATTCAGAACTTGTCCTCTTTACCAGTTCATAAGGGGTGTGAGCCGCCTCATCCCAAGGAACTGCATCAAGAGGAGGTAGCTTCTAGCCATGTGGTCTTTATGTCAAAATGTACAACAAAACATATAATTTAGGATTCATCTAACTGGGATTGAGTCCTTGGGTGATGACCAGGGTAAACAGGGATGGGGAGGAATCAGGAATGAAGACACAGAAAGAAGAGTCCAATAGAGGAGGAAATATTTAGAAACTTAGAAATATTTTATTGTCTGTGTATAAAATATATACAATAAACTGCATGTTGTTATTAGCACTCTAAAATTATAGCCCAATTTTATGCTATGATTTTGAATTCGCAGAAAATTTAAAATGGGAAGACAAGAAGAGCACCCATGTATAGGCTAATAATATAGCTTTGCTGCCTTCAATTTCTAAATCTGGGGGACAAAATATGACTATGATATGTATAATAATCAGCTGTCTTATAACGGGAGGTACACAACACACACACACACACACACAAATCTCAAAAGTCAAAGATGGTTTTTAAATTAAAAATAGTTTGCAAGGGTACTTACAGTTATTCCTAGCATTGGTAGTGACATGTTGATAATGTCATTCACTGTGTCTGAATTTGTTACTGTTACAGTTACAGACTGTAAAAAAGAAATGAGAAAAATTGCTATAAATTTTTAAAAATTTAAAGCAGGTGACCAAATAATTATTGTCAAATTATTATCCATACTCTAAAGGCAAAGCTTGTTTTCAGTTAATGACAAAGTAAAGCATATGTAGAGCACACACCCTTGATTATATTTTCATTTCTTTACATAACATGAAGCTAGTAGGAAACATTTCAGTGAAACATATATTTCCCTTCAAGGATTTGTGGCTTACAAAATATAGCAGCTTAAGCAAGAAAGAGAAAAACAGAATTCCACGAGGGGACATGAACTGACCCTCAGCTCCATAAGGCTATTCCCAAAATAGAGAGGGGAGATAGTTTAAAAAGGAGGAGCTAGATACTTTTCTCTCTTCGCAATTACATACTCAGTTTCAGCAAAATCAGAATAAGAACCGTCTGTGACAGACATTTAAAAAAAAAAAAACTATTTAGTCAATACTTTCTTTGTGTCATCATGGTTACTAAGATTTCCATTGTTGAAATCTGTTGAGACAAATAAAACCAATGAGTCTAGGAAATGAGACTGAAAATGTTAGAAGTTTATATTCCATTCGCAACTCTGACAGTGAGTAGTTACTTATAATATCTCTCTATCACACCTTATATTGAGAAACTGCTCCATACAACAAGGAAAACAGTTATTGAAAATTATCTGAAAGGGATGGATAGGAATCTGAGATGATATCGATAAAAGTACCCGAATTCCAAAAGACATTTTAAAAGAGGACAATATGTAACCAACCACGCATACACTTTTTATAACATTATTAGGCAATGAGGCCTGTGTTCTTTGAGAAACAGTGCATGAAGAAGACAAGCAACAGAAGTGGACACTCACAGTCCTTAAAAATATTAAAAACAAAGTTAAAAGAAACTTGTTCTTTCATTGTATTTTTCTTCTTATGAATTGAAATGCAATTGCTTGATATGACAGATGGCCCAAAAGTTGCTTGATAATCGAACTTGTATAAACAAAAGTGTTCATTGATTTCAAACTACTTGAGCTTTAAGGATTATAAAAAAAAGTGTTCAGAACCTAGCAGTAGGACTCAGAGCACCCAAACTCAAGGATATCCTATGTTAAATTGTCTAGGAGGGGCTTCCTATGTTAAATTGTCTAGAGGATTCAAGACTGGGTCTTAGCTTGAAATTTAGTTAGAAGTAATGGCTCTGCTATTTTTTTTAAGATGTCTGAAAGCCTTTCAGTACAACTTAAAAAGTTTCCCACAAATTTTTTTTTTTTTTAAGATTTTTGTTTATTTATTTGTCAGAGAGAGAGCACAAGCAGGGGGAGCCACAGGCAGAGAAGACAGAGGGAGAAGCAGGCTCCCCTTTGAGCAGGGAGCCTGATGCAAGACTCCATCCCAGGACCCTGGGATCATAACCTGAGTCGAAGGCAGATGCATAACTGACTGAGCCACCCAGGCATCCCTCCCATGAAATCTTTTTAAAGAAAAAAAAATCTCTTTTGAAATACTAATAATCACTTTTTAATTTATCTGGTCTGCAAGATAATGGTTTTCATGGTATAAGGAACATACTATGTTCAAAATAGTAATTCCAGAGATGTATGTATATTTTCCTGCATGTTGTAGGTTCTCCAAAACAGATAAATTCCAGTAGATAGAGCTCTCTGTAAACAAATGACTTCAGAAAAATAAGCTGCTTTTTGAAATAATTTAAAAGAAAAAGAAATGTTACTTTTTTTTATATGAGTCAAAGTGTTACTTAATATATGAAGAACAAGGAATATGTGATCAATTCTCAAGAGCTGAAGCCAACCCTGAGATGATCTAGATGTTCAGACTGTTAGCCAAAAACAGCTATTACAATAATGCTCAATGATACAAATGAAAATATGCTCACAATAAACGAAAGAGGCATCTTAGCATAGAAACTAAAAATATTTAAAAACAGAAATTTTTTATCTGAAAAATATCTTAAAGAAAAAATTTACTGACTAGGCTACATTGCATAATGGAGATGACAAAAAGAAGTCAGTGATTTGAAAATAGATAATAGAAATTATCCTGTCTGAAGAAGAAAAGGGGAAAAAAAGATTGAAAAAATTAAGAGTCTGAGGGATCTATGAACAATATGAAAGGGTCTAATATACATATAACTGGACTCTCAGGAGGAGAGGAGAGAGAAAATGGGGAAGAAAATATTTGAGGTAATCATGATCAAAATTTCCCAAATTTGGTGAAATTAAATTTATAAATTCAAGAAGTTCAGAATATGCCAAATAGGACAGATTCAAAGAAAACCATGCTTTGATACTTCATAGCCACACTGCTAAAAACCAAAAATAAAGAGAAACTCTTGAAAGCAGCTAGAGAAAAATGACAAATCACCTACAGGGGATTAACGTTTGATTGATCACAGACTACTCATCAGAAAGCACAAAGACAAAAAGACAGTGGAACATCTTTAAAGAGCTGAAAGGAAAAAGTTTGCGAACAAAATTCTACATCCCTCAAAATATCCTTCAAGAGTGAGTGTGAAATAAAGCCATATTCAGATAAGAGAAATTAAGAAAATCTGTTTGCACCAGGTCTGCACAAGAAATGCTAAGGATCATCTCTCTAGGATGAAATGAAAACAGTGTTAGAGGGAAACTTGGATGTTCAGGAACAAGTGAAGAACATTAGAAATGCTTATTTTGTGTAAATTATACATAAATAAAGTTGATTTTTAAAGATTTCAAGGTAATTTTCCATGGAAAATTCTGAGTGTAACCCACTGCCACAGCTGAAATCAAAGCAGGCAGAGACAAGAGTGTGCTCTGCTGCTAGAGAACCCTCTGGCCTTATCTCCTTCATGCAATGCATCTACCTGGTGCTTAGAAACCAATCAAAATATTTGCATGGCTTTTGCTTTGGCCAGGAATAACTACCCCTTTTTCCACCTTCAAATACTATTTTGTGTGACCTAGAGCTACTGTAAAGTATAACAGGAAAAAAAAAATGTCACTTAAAGATACCCAAAGTATCTTGTTCATCATTGCAAATGTCTTGGCTACTGCACTACAATTTCAGAAATCAAATTTTATACCAAGAATGGGCAACTGGTTTGATTTTTTTCCCCCCAACAGCCAAAAGAAAATGAGATAGAAATATGCTGATCCCTTAAAAGTGTCATCCCTCTGAGCTCAATTCAACCCTGATATTCCTTGGATCAAAAGACCTTTCAAAACCCCTCTGCAGTTGATATAACTACTAAGTGAAATACCTGACCCTTGAGTAGATCCTGTACTGGAAAGGAGACATTATTGAGGTCAACTGACAAAATGGGAACATGGAAGGCAGAGTAAAGTATTACACCGATGTTAAATTTACTAAAGGTGATAACTGTGTGATGGTGATATAAGAGGATATCTTTATTCTTGGGAAATACCTAGGTTTAAGGATAAAGGGCCATGGCATTTGTATGACCCTCAAAAATAAGTATAACATACACATAATAGGGACAGAGAAAGAAAATAAATGATAAAGCAAGTGGAGTAAAATGTTACTAATAGCTGAATCTAGGTAAAGGGTGCATGGGGTGTTTTTTGTTTTATTTTTATACCTACAACTTTTCTGTGAGTTTACAGTTATACCAAATAAAGCGTCAATGGGGGGAGGGTGGAGAACTGTGGAAACAATCCAAACCATTCTGTACATAAGTAGTAACCATTGGGAAAAAATGTTTACTTCTAGTAGGAAATACCTGCATGTGAAAATCACCTTATTACAAGCCAGTGTTGTTGCTATTAGAAAGAACCAGGGAAATATTATGGATATTTAACATGCAATATTCTTTTCATGCTTAAGTACTGTGGCATGGATTCCTCTCACTTCATATTACCTAGGATTCACTCTTTATGTATACAAAGACACGTGTAGACAGGAAAATACATTTTCCCACATGGTACTTTTCTAAATACTCTCTCTCTTCTTATCTCTTGCTCTCTCCTTCCTACCTCCCCATCTCTCCCTCCCTCCCTCTCTCTATCTCCATCTCCATCTCTTTCATTCTATCTGAATCAGGAACATGGAATTTAATTTTTGGTCTTAAAAACACTTACACAGGCACAGTTCTTGATGTCCTCAGTGAAGATTCTGAGAGGAATGCTTTTGGGCTGGTCCTTCTCTTTGGCCAGATTGATGTACCTAATCAAATTCAATAATAACCCCAAATAGAGTAGGATGAATTAGCTATTAGCTTACTTTCAAATTGATCTATGTGGCTAAAATTTTCAACATACTCTGTTATTTTTAAATGCATGTAAATAAACTCAGCAACATCAAATTATGGGTTGGAAGAAAACATGCAAAACTATTTCAGGAAAGTAAGACATGACTCAGAAAACAACAGGTTGCTCTTGTCATGTAAGATGTGAGTAGAGGATCCAGTCATCAAAGCTTTCCTGCCTAGACTGGAGGGCCCAGCACCTTCAAGGGTAGGAATGAGAAGGTGCTTTGAGCATCACTCAGGAGAGTAAATTGCACTTAAGAAAATTTAATATGTATCTTTTGAGAATAATGTTAGCTCCAATCATTAGGTCTGAGAGAAGGGGAAGATGAGAGTGATAACCAGAATTTCATCAAAAATAAGCAATATGTGCATGTAAATAAGAGCAGATTATTTGCAGTAGCAGCCAGGGTACATCTAAATAAGAAATTATTTGAGGATAGTCTAACAATTTCTACTAAGTAGGGGAAGCATAGTGTGTGGGGGCACTGCTTTGAAGAGATTTATTCTTTTCTCATGGGTTAAAGATGTATAATATGTATAGTGACAAGATACCTTTGAAGGAAAGAATGCCATTTTTCCTTTTGTTCCGAAGAACTGCAATTTAAAAAAAATGGGAAGAAAAAATTAAGATACATACAATACTTATACTAGCAAAATAAGATCACCATTCCAGAAAAAAAATAGCAGCAGCCAGTTGTTAAGGATGTGGATGCATGTGTTAATATCATACTGTCCTCATAGTTGCGCTTTGGAGGGACCCCACTCTTTTATGAGCGTATTAAAGCAATGGGAAGTAGATCCTAAAGTGGGAGAAAAGTTGGTTTTGAATCTGAACACTTAATTGTAACTATGTGATGCAAGCTATGTGATCATGGGCACTTTGCTTCACTGCGCTGATCTTCAGTTTCCAGAACTGGAAAAGGGTTAATTATACCCCGAGTGTTCCTGCAGCTGCAAGTGCTATTCAGATATAAAGAACATTATTATTCAAATTAAATCATACTTAAGGAATTTGGCATTTGGATGGAACTATCTTGGCCCAGAAACAAGAATAGCTTTTTAGGAAGAAACACCTGTAATATTTTTATTTCTTTATACACATAGCAGATTGGAATGTGTTAAATTAGTTTCTAGAAAACATTCTTCGTTACTGTGATCCTCTGAGCAAGATCGATCCAGCTAGTGCTAAACTACTAAAGGTTAGTCTTTTCTCAACTAAAGTTTTCACAGCATTTAGTACCCAAAGTTGCGAATGTTTTAAGCCTCATGCATACATGGCCTTACCACTTACTAGCGTTTTTTTACCGTGGTAAACTACACAAAATAAAATTGACCATTAGTGACCTTTAGTACATTCACAGTTTTGTGCAACTACCGTGACTGTTTAGTTCTGGAACATTTTTTCACCCAAAAGCAAACCTGTGTCCACGAAGCAGTCACTCTTCCTTCCTTCCTGTTTCTAGCTCCTGTACCATATTTTGTGTATTTGTTGATAAACACGTGGGTTGTTTCTACTTTTGTTTGTTTGTTTGCTTTTTGGCTATTGTCGACAATGCTGCTATGAACGTTTGTGTATCAATTTTTGTGTGGACCTACGTTTCTCTTGGGTATCTATCTGGGGGTGGCATTGCTGGGTCGTATAGTAATTCTGTTTGACTTACTGAGGAACCATCAAACTGTCCACAGTGGCTGCCACATTTTATACTCCTCCCAGCAACACTGCTCCCCAACCCCTCCATCGCTGTTTCAGGATTTGTCCCATCTGGAAAATGGAACGCCCACTTAGCGTCCCAGCCTGCCTATGCGCATGGACACAGCTTCTAGTTAGCCATGCTGATCTGCAGAACAGTAATAACCACAAATAGCAAAAGCACTAGGTGCCAGGAATTGTTATAAATGCCTTCTATATGTTTACACAGCTTTTTAACTAATATAACATGTATAAGCCTGGCTTCCACATTTTCCTGCTTGTTAGGGAAAAAAAGTCTCTTGGAAACTCCCCTGTCAAAGACTTTATACATTCCCAATTGAAACTGTTTCCTTCCATTTGCAACATGGAGAAGACAGGAAGCAAGAGGAACTGAGAATCTTTACAGAAATGCGTCGTGGAAAAGAAGACATGCGGAGAGCATATAAATACATATTTCTTCCCAATAAGCTTTGAAAATTTCTCCTTAAGTCAACGCTGCATTATAGGGCTTAATAAATTAACAACTTGTAAACATTTTCGTTGTCTTCCCTTTGTGATGACGTGGGACATTTTGGTGGAGTGGGGTGAGGAGAAGAAAGAAGGGTGTTAAGTGCATGTGATGAACACTCATTGTGCAAAACAAGAATGAGACTTGGGGTGTGGTTGTTTCAAACAGCAGATGTAAGTGTTGCACCACCCCTGTAAACTCAGGAGTGTCTGCTCAGGATGTCCGGGGTAGAGAGTCACATTCCCCATCCTCGTGTCAGCCTAAGAATGTGTCTTGCACAACTAACCTCTACTCAATGCAATCATACTTTTGTTTTAGATGGTCACCTCTCTAGAGACACCAACTAAGATAATCAGTACACAGCAATTCAGGCAACCTCATATTCAATGACATGATTAATTTATTTGTATAATTCCATACTATTTTTAAAGGAATGACCTTGGGAGTATAAGAGCAATTTTTCAAATTTAATTGGACTCTTTAATAGTACTTGCTCAAGAAAAATATGCCAGTGATTTAGAAACACACATACCCCCTGGGAATTAGGGGGCAGGATATTGGAGAGGGGTTCTAGAACCTCACTCTCTTGATTCTCCTTCCATATGCCTAAAACACCCAATTCCTCAAGTGGCTCCTAGAGCCCATGGGAAAAACCACTGATCAAAACCAAAAGAAATTACTCCAATAGTTCCCACTCTATGTTATCTACTTGCTCCCATTTGTACATACCTTTTGGGGGGAAGTACAAGGCAAATGAGTGTCATTATGGGAAGTCAAAAAGGGAGTCACTGGCTTGACATATAATCAGATTAAAATGTTTTTCTTTTTATCCCATGTAAATACAAGACCAAACGGTCGGTCTTACCCGAAGGTGGCCACAAAGGTCACCGTGGGCCAGCCCAGGATAAAGGACCTCCCAGCACAGATGTTGGCATCCTCCACTCTGTCCATACAGTTGGCAGTCCACATGGTGTTCAGTGGTATTTTCTTTTTTATCTTAAGTTTTTTCTTATACCTAGAAAGATACCCAAACAAGACCTCTGTTAGTTTGTTTCATAAATCTTATGGGAACAGCTGTGCTCATCAGAGACCAGTTCTCACTGCTCCAGGGCACAGCATGCCTCCCTTGTCTCTATTACCCTCTGTGCCCAGCACAGCAAATGGTGACATGACCTTTACAAAGTGTGTGTTGAGCGAAGTCTGGCCCTAGGAAGGCCCTGAAAACACTTCCTCAAATGGCAGCAAGTGGCCATTTTTCTGAATGTTGAGTGTTGAGTAAAGACTATATATTCCAGAGCTTTTTAAGAAAACCATTAATTCATTTATTATTGTTAGAATTTGTTTCTTATTATATATAGTTTTATGGTTATTATTATAGTTAATTATTCATTTATGACTTGCTTACTTCAAAAAGTATTTGAGGGGCTGAACAAAGCTACCTGATACACGATTTATAAAAATAGTCATACAATTTTTTGCTTAAGAGACACAAACCAGGGGGCGTGCCTGAGTGGCTCAGGCGGTTAAGCATCCAACTCTTGGTTTCGGCTCAGGTGGTGATCTCAGGGTCTTGAGATCGAGTCCCCATGTAAGGCTCCCCTCTCAGTGGGGAGTCTGCTTCCCCTCTCCCTTTGCCCCTCCCCCCGCTCACGCTCATTCTCTCTAAAATAAATAAATACATAAATAAATCTTCAAAAAAAAGAGAGAGAGAGAGACAAACCAAGAACAAAAAATAAACTTGGATCAGAAAGATTTTTTTGGGGGGGGGGGATCAGAAAGATTTAAAAGTTATTTTCAACCTTAATTTTAAAAAAAAATACTTTCTAGCCTTTAAAGCATAGGTTATTTTCAATTTCCCTTCTTAAAATTTTATCCATATCATTTTCCCTTAGATTATGGCTAAAACTGAAAAACTGTTAGCCTACAGATTGAGCCCAATTTAAAAATCATCAATCCATCCATCAATCAATCCCAGATCAGCGGTCAGGAGGTCTTATATGTGAGTGATGGATACTTCCCATTTCTCTGAGGAGTCAGAAGGTGATCAACTTTGTCAGTGGTGAAATTGCTTTTTGACAATTTCTGCCTAATCTTCTTTGATCTCTAACATGAAAACCACCATATTGATTGATTTGGTTAATTCACAACTTTAACTCTCAGGTGGGCTTGGGATTTAAATAGTTATAAGCCCTCTGAGGGATGCTTAGGGAACTTGGACACACCACTCTGGAACTCCTTACTATTCAGAAACACATGTGGAAACACTAAACTAAAATGAGATCAAAGACACCTCATGTGCAAAAATCCCTGTGACTCCAGTGATTCATGGAACAATTAAAGCTAAGACTCTCCAATGGGTTTTATGAAATAAAAATAATTTTGCTGGACGCACACTTGAAGGATAATCTAGATTCAAAGTTTATGACACAATGAATAAAGTCATCGGATAAAATCATTATCAGATATCAGATGTCTGATTATCAGATAAAATCATTTTTCTAGATAGTAACTCCAAAGGCATTGTCAGGGTAAAAATATATGGCTAATGGGAAAGATAGACATATATCTGTTGGTTTTTAAGATTTTTTTTTTTTTCTAATGTAGGTATCTGTGTGTATACAGACACCCAAGGTACTGTGTGGGAACTTCCAAATACATTGACCTGGAAAAAGGCATTTCAGTAATTCTCTCCTTAGTTCAAGAAAGCACCAAGATTATCTACTCCAAACCAAGGAGTTATCCCAAAGCCCAGAGCATGGTTTCGACTGTCCTATCACATTTGGAGCACTTATCATATGCCAAGCACTGTTCTAAATATTTTATAAATACAAATATAAAAAATGTAATCCTCAAACAACTACACTAGGTGGTCTTTATTAGCTCCATTTTACAAATAAGGAAACTCACAGAAAGGTCAACTAAATTGCCAAAGGCAAGAGAGTTTGAACCCAGACAGCCTAACTCATGAGCCCATGTTTGTAACCACTTGGCCTCTGTGGCTGCTGACCTATCGTTCCATGAACTACCCTTCTCATGTTTCCTACCCTCACTCAGCCTCACTTCGATCCCCAGAGCCATCAGGCTTTCTCATTGGATTATCTGGGGAGTGAGAGGATAAATCTCAAGACATTATATTAACAAAGCTGGTTACTAGCTTGGAAATATTTAAAGTTTATTACAACAAAGCTTCATACTTCAGTGGATTCTTCTAGGGTCTTACTGCATTTCTTCACTCTCAATCACTGACCCAACTGGATTATCTCAGTAGAAATTAGAAAGTATTAATCTAATGTAAACTGACTTGAGGAGAAGAAAGAGGAGGAGAAAGAACTGTGGTTTTTATTTCTAAAAATAGTCCTTTATTATATTTGTATTAACATGATGGATATCACTCTTGCTTTCTGCTACCTCAACCTTTATACCAGAAGGGAAGCCCCAGTGCACTGTGGAAATTTACAGGATTCTAGGGGGATTTCCCCTGTTCTAAGATAGGGGTATCCTTTTACAGATGTTGGGAGTGGGGGTCCTGTTATATTCTGTAAGTAATTCTTTGTAATTTCACGGATAATGAGTTAATAGTCATCTTCATCTTTTGACCTAATTTAAATTCATTTTTTGTTTCATTTTATATTCTTTAATAACTACATATGAGGGATGTGATGTCTAAAGAACTAAGTTCAGTCCCTTCCTTTTTGTAAATTCTTCATGGGCCTCTACTAGTATTAATATCTTAATATTTATCAAGCAGATACTGTTCTTAAAAATAAAGTAATAATTTTCTTTGAAAAATAACTTATTTAGTATTCTAATGAATATCAAAAGTAATAAGGAAGGTTCCATCTGACCTCAATTCTTGAGAAATTTCTGAAGGCGTATGAAAAGAATCCCCAAACAATTTTCACTATTATTAACATCTTGTACGACTAGAGAAATATAATTTCTTTGTGAAGAAACAAACATTTAAATTCCTTTTATTATTACACACAAACTAAAATTCACTAATTTTGACAGAATACAGAGGTAGCAATTAGTCAACTACTTACCCAATTTGTGTTAATTTCTATAGCGTCAACCTAAAGATGAGAGTTTCCAGCTGAAGCCTGCAGGTGAGCTGAGGTAAAACAGAACCTGGGTCACCCCAACCCCTTCTTATGGCTAATTGGAAAACGTAGGCCCTAAATTCAGATGATTAATTTGAACAGATTGATTCAGGACATAACACAATCCTCCAAGAACAAGGATGACAGGGATGAAACAAGGTTGTTAATGCAGGAGCTATTTCTTTTTAGTTGTTTCCTTCTAGAAAAAAAAAATGTAAACTTGTCCAATATTCACAGTGATCATAAATATACCCAAATGTTTACTATGGGAATGTTCTCATGGTCGTTTTCTAAAAACTGGCAAAAACTTGTACGCGGCCACAGCATGAAGTGCTGCTCGTGACTGCTAGGGACAGAATTGTGTCCCCTCCCCCACTGCTCCCCACAGTCTTACCGTGAAGCCCTCTCTGCCAATATGACCATGTTTGAAGAGAGAGCTTTTAAGCGGTAACTAAGTGTAAATGGGGCCATCAGGGTAAGGGCTTAATCCAGTAGGATTGGTGCCCTTGTAAGAAGAGGGAGAGAGAGCTCTGTGTGTGTGTGTGTACATGCAGGCGCTGAGGAAACCCCACAGGGCATAGGCGAGAGGGCAGCCATCTGCACGCAGAAAGACAGCTCTCGCGGGAACCTGACCCTGATGGTGTCCCGAACTTGGACTTCCAAAAATCTGTGTTCTCTCTCTGTCAAGGGCCTTGGTTTTAGAAGCCAAATTCAAGTGCCTGAGATCACTTACATTTTCTAATATTCCAAATGGATGTAAAAAGTATATAAGATAATCTTTCAGGAGCTGAGTCTCTTAAAGAGAACATTATTAAATACATTGATGTAGATTTTGTCACATCATAAAAACCCTTGCGTAGACACAAAGACCTATCTCAAAAGCAATATGTGAAGAGGAAAAATGTTGCACTTCTTTTGTAATAGTGAACCAATCAAAATAAAAAATTCAGCTCTTAAAAGGATGCAGTTCTCTCATGGGGAAAGAACACTGCCTTTATATAAAATCTTTTCAGCAGAACACCGTAGGTTCTGTAAAACCCGCTGAGAGGTAAGCAGTATCCAGGACAATAAATGGCTCTAGTAAGAAAAGAAAGGTCTTCTCCTCTCCCTAAGTGCTATAATAATTACAAAGATGAAAACAAAGTGAAGGACAACCTGTTCCCCTTATAAATCGAATGGGAGTGGTCTGCAAGGTCCCAAGGAGCAGGAAAGGAGTTTGCTGTTTGTTAGCGTGTCTCGGGCTGAGCATGCAAGAGTAGGTGTGGCATGGTGTGGCAGGAAGAGTGTGGCCTTGGGATGAAGGCAGGCCTGGCTTGGAGTCTCTCCCACCATTTCCCTGTGGATGACAGGTCCATTCCTGAGACTTCCTCCATCCCCACTTTCATTTCTGCAGTCGGTGGATGGTAACAATACTGGCCTTGGAGGGCTGTGGGGAAATTACACGAGGAATCTGTAATGCTCCTCGTGTGGTCCCCAGCATGCATCCCACACATTTTAGTCTCCTGTACTCACCTTGGTTAAATAAAGGGAATGGTAACTAGTCTGCTTTTTTAAAAATAATGATGTGGCCCTCTATCAGGAGGAGCAGAGTGCGTCATACGGACCTCATGCCAGGACCTGGACAGTCTTTTTCTCTCTGTCCTCCTCATGACATCACCACCTCCAAGGCTACATCTGTAGGCAATATCACTCATCTCAAATATATTTTACTATTTCTGTCTTTGCCTCTGATTTTTTTTTTTTTTTTTTTTTGGACAGCTACACTACCTTCATTTCTCAGTTCACTAAGCATTCTGACCTATTTCTTACCAGATACCAAGCAGATTGGAGTTGTTTACTCAACATAAAGGAAAGGTTGATTTCAATAATGAGAGAGAATCTAGGTGTTCATGGAATGTTGTATGAAATTCAGAAAAATAGAAATAATAGAAACAGCAGCACCACACGTAGAGTAAAAGCCTGTACTTTGAAAGAAACGGACCTAATTTCAAATGTAGACTCTACTCATCACTAATATGGTGACCTGGGCAAAACCTTCAGACCTCTGATTTTCAGAGGTCTTCTCTAAAATAAAAATAATCCCATCTCACAGGGTAGTTGTAAGGTTGGAGAAGATTGCATACATGAAGTTCTTAGCATAACACCTGTCATGTAGTAAGCCCCTGATAAATTATCATTAATGTCACTCAGATTGAGTACAGCATTTTGCCAAATTAGTACTTGCATGGCTTACTAATGGCATGGCATAACTGGGAGCTGGTGAGGGCAGCAAAATAAAGGGGGCGTAGTTTTTTTCTGGTGACTAAAAAGCTTCTTGATATTTGGTTGGTTGGAATAGTCTTTGTCTTTCATGATGTTTTGTGAATAATGAAAACAGAGACAGAGCAAGTAAACAGCTGACCTCCCATCCACCTGCTTTTGGACATTTATTGAGCAATCATCAGGTTCCAGGCTGGCTATCAGTTACCTTTGTGTTCAGGGTTGAGAGGAAAGTGCACGCAGTTAGTTCTGTCTCCAGCATATATTCCCAATCTGTCTGCTGCCTCCTTCCTTTTTACTGCACTCCTATCCTGGAGCCCTTGAGAGCAGGCATCAGGACTACTGCCTCCCCTCACCAGTCTCCCTGCTCCCACTCTTGCTCAACCATCCATCCATTACCTACCAACAGTCAGAAAAATTTGCGAGAGCTATAAATCAGATTCAGTCAGTCCTAGTTAAAAATGCTTTGGCAAAATATTTCCACTTTTCACCATGGCCTGTGAAGACCGTGTGTGACTGGACCCCGAGCGCAGTTTCACATCTGATCGCATGCCCCATGCTTTCGGCTCCCATCAAATCAGCCTTCCTGAGCCCCTCCCCCCAGGGGTCAGGTTGCACCCACGTAGCCTGCCGGTCCCTCAGCCTAGAAGGTTCAGGCACCTTGTCTAGGACTGTGGCTGCTTCTCATCCCATAGATCGAGTTTCAGTGCTGCCACCTAGGAGAGGCCCTCCTGGACTACCCCTCTCTCATACGTTCCCATCATCTCCACACGGCCCCCTGCCTACTTTCTA